ATCTGTGCTGGTTGGGCGACATAACAGGTTACCGCTACTGTTTATTCCAAAAACATTGTGCGTCTTTCGGAATTAAATTCTAAAAATATCACGTAAATTTCGTTACAATTTCTCAGAAACGATCATTGCGGGAAAATTGTGTGCTGGGACTAAGATTTTTTAAGGATCGATGCGATAAAACGATAGTTCGAGGAACGATAGAAGCGGGAAAATGTAACATTATTTTATATGGGATGTATTCGGGACCGAACAAAACGGACGATGCATCCGGGAAAACGATAGTTCCGGGAACGATGGATAGAGGTTTCACTGTACATCTTTGGTCATACCAATACATTTCTGATTTCATCACAGAAATTCTTTTCTTATAACAAGATGCAACAATAATTCATATTTCTTTCTGATCTGAAAATAACGTGAGATCTGATGTTCTCACAGCAGTGAATATCTCGATGGTGTTCTTGTAAGTTGTGATCTAACAGGTAGTTACCAACATCTCAGAAGAAAATGGCAACCACAAATAAGACCACACAGCTTCACAACACAAAACTCCACCATCAACAATATGATAAACAGTATAAAGAGCACCTTGGCTTGGACATTTTCCAGGTCAGTCTTGATAGCTTGAGCCTGTGAAATCAACTGTGCATATTCTTCCTTGTAAGACGCAATGCTGTGCTCAAGTTGTGTGATGAGGTTTGTCACTTCTTCACCACGTTTCTTATTCTCATGGGCTTGCACCTCTAATGAGTGTAGCTCGTCCCTCAGAGGCTCTACTCGCTTCAGCATGTCTGCATAGTTTATCTAAACAAAAATGTAAAAGGGTTACACAAGACAGTCATACCAAACACACTTCAAGTAAAAAAAAATCAACCACTGGTAAAATGAAAGGGTATCGAAGAATTAAACTGAAAATTAAAAATGTAAAGAAAGTGGGGGTTCCAGTGTGTACGATCTTGAAAATTAAAAAATTAAATACAAAATAAACATTCATAACACATTTTAAGTACTGCCACTTTCACTACATAAAATACAGCAAACTTTATGCTAGTCAATAAAAACTAATAACTATAAAACAAAATTTCAAAACACAAGATCAGCTACAGTTTAATAATTCATGGTGAAGTGATAAATGTCTCTAGCACAGTGAAATGCCTTTTGACATTGATCATGGATTGTACAATGTTATGGCTCCACAAATGACTACATATCATAATCTGCAGAGTAATTAATGCAGGTTATTTTCATTTACTGTACCTGTGCAATGGCCCACTTGACCATCGGACCACAAGCCATACTAGCTCGATTTACTTTCTCAAAGTTGTAGTCTGGGTTACTGAGGTAACGGGACTTCATCTTCTCCCGCACTTCATCACTGAATTACAGAAAGACAACATAAATAATGCCATAGCCTGTGCTAAATAAAATTGAAATTAAAATTAAATGAATGGATGAGCATAGAATACAAAGAAGATTACTGAAAATTAAGACAAGAGGAAAAGACACCAGGGGGCAGAACAGATACACATGATGAATAGAATAAGTTGTGACAGATCTAGAGAGGGCAGGATGGTAAATGAAATGCAATAATGGATAAAATTAGACAGTTGGAAGCTTCTATGTAAAAAAACCCACAAATGTAGAAATGTCTTGAGAAGGAAAAGGAAGAATCCACCATTATCTAGCAATTAATGATCATTGTCACAAAAATTTGAGATACGAAAAAGTGGCATATCAAAAGTTGGTATAATTAATACTTAAGCTTAAGATAAAATTTAGAAAATCACGCACACCAACAAAACTGTTTACACATTAAATAACACTTTGTGCGAAATGCGTTTCAATCTCAAGAGGTCATCATCAGTGGCAAAACTTTAATTCATTAGTCTGTCTATTAAAATCTTAAAATCATAAAATTCATGAAACGATGGTTTGTTATAAAGCACTGAGCACTTTATAAAACTATACTTTATGTAATACCACAATGAAAGTTTAATTTCACATGAGTTGGTATGTTATATAAATTGAGTTACTCAGCTTAATGTCCACTGGCCCAAGTTTTACTTGAGGTTTCTGTTGTTGGTCTATGGTGAGCCATGGTTGCATTGTCTGTGCCTGGATTGTGAACTTCAATGTTGTGTATAACAGTAATAACCACGCAACGTTGAAGTTCACAATCCAGGCACCTCTTGAGGTCAAAACACGTTTGGCACAAAGTGTTATTTAATGTGTAAACAGTTTTGTTTAAATGCATCATTTATATATCAATACAAGGTTTTAAGATTAAGATAAAATACATTCTCAGTACACTAAGAGTATAATTAAGATTTAAGTTATGTCACTTGTACAACATATTTCTTTCACACTATGTTGCATGTAAGCCACAAATGTCTTATACATAAGCTCACTAGGGGATTGCACACAACTTCAAAATAACAAATGTTTTCTTTAAAAAATCAAAATTCTTTAGTTGACAGTATGTTAACTGTAAATGTCCAATACACAAAGAGTGCATAAGGACAACTTTATCAAATATAAAACCAAGGAGAATCCACATAAAAAGTACTTTAAAATAAACAAACCATCAAAGCATGTATATAACATTTACACATGCAAGCTTTTAAATATCTGCAGATTTCAGCATTTACAAGGATACACATTCAGAATTCACAGCATGTAGTAGAAATAGTAGTGGGTTTAAGATGGGACAACATATTCTACAGGAGGAGTCAGAGGCATGTTAATATCTACAGCTATTTGCACCTGCATAAAATTTAATTTCTAAATTATTTATCCAACATCTAGCAGGTGCAGATTATACCTGGTGGTGACATACAGGATAAAAACAAGACTAACATCTAATACAAGCTCACTGCATAAAATACAATTCTGATGTTTATTTTAGGCTTCTACTTGGGTTAAAAAAGAAAGTCATCAGAAGCTGGCATGAACTAGATGAAAATAAATTACTTTAGGAGGCTTTGGATTAATTTTTAGAAGATGCACTAAAAAGTTTGTTATAAAATCATGTAACCTTTCAGAATGACAGCAAAGAGGTGATCAGTTAAAAAGGTTACAGAATTGAGAAAGGGGGAGAGAAAGTGCATCACCAACATAATACCTTTTAATGTTACTACCTGTTATCATCAAGATACATGCAGATTTTTGGAAGTATGTTCCCAGGGAAAAAAACGTGTCTTACATTCTGTAAAACAAGGTATATAAATGAGTCTGTGCAGCCAGTATTCATAAAAACTGACTACTGTTGCAATACATTCAAGTCAGTCATGCCACAATAAATCATAGTTGAAATAATTTAAAATAAAATAAACTTAAATTCTAAAACAATCAAGCACTAGACAATGAACTATGCCTCTTCAAGTGGTCAGGGCAGAGTGGGGTACAATTACAAGATCAAACATACACTTACAAAGGATTTCGGGTGTTCAAGGTGATGAGATCAGATCGTGATTTTCCAAGTTGTTGCACCACTTTAACTTTTTGTTGTAAGCCAACGTTTCAGAGGACATATGCTGCCTCCATCTTCAGAGATGAAGACAAAGGCAACATGTTTCTCCAAAATGTCAGTAAACAAGCAGAAGACTACACAGTGCAAGAACCCAGAAGACAACAACTAAAATGCAATGATGAATTCATTGACTTTCTTGTGTGACTGTTAAATAGTGGCATATTCAACACAGCAGATACTAATTATTGTTAACATAAATATTTCTAACACTATAATTAGCAACTACATTACTCCAGCATTTGGGTATTTCACTTTCAGAAGAAATGAACAACAATTTAAAACAGTTACAACACTCCCATATTAATTAAACAACATGCTGTACAATGACAGCTCAAATGATCTTAATGTGATCGTAATACATAAGAAAGTCCTCGAACGGAAGCAAAATGTAACGTAAAATTGTCCCTTGTACTTATTAAGCGCCATGTGATTAAAGATGCACGAGATGGTGGTGATATAGCCTCACTCGCTCTTGACTTTGAGAATAAATGGAGTGAGTGGTCAGCTTCATTCCCTGACCACTTTACTTCAAAGGTTAATAAATATTTTAAGAAATTCAGCCTAAACTACTTGTTCTATTCTACCTACTTAAAAATTCGCAAATATTACATTCCAGACATTTTAATGTTTAGACAAAATATGACAAGACCTTTCTATCCTGAACTTTTAAAGTACATATACAAGAAAGCCTAAGTTGGATCTACCCATCCTGCAACCTGACTTTGGGTATAAAAAACAATGGACATATACAGTATCTCAAAAAGATGTATACACACAACGTTAATATTCCATATTATTATGTGTATATATCCTTCAAATTTTGCAAATTATAAACATGGTGATAGTATGAAAATTCATAGTTATAGCAGGCAAATGAACAAAGAACCAATATCAGAGAAAGAAATACAGAAATAGACAATTAAACTACATGAATATTATATAAATACAACACACTGGATATATGAAATATACTGGGAGGGGAACTACCAGAGTAGAGTGGAACTGTTTCCTCTCTTTCCTTGTGCATATAAATATTTCATACAAATGGATGGACAAGAACAGAACATAACCACACTTAAGTGAACTACTAATTCAATTTTAAAAAAAGATCTTCATGATGCACAAAAACAGTCATCACTCCACAGTGCTTTACTTGTGAGATTAATAAGAGGGACACACAGAATGAGATTTATGACATACCTTTTAAATAAATTCATAGGAGAATATGTATAATTACTGTCATAATACACATAAATATAAAACCTTCTGCATACGGTTTTCATGATGTGTATTGAATGTGAAAGACCCAAACCACTTTAAATCCAACCTAAAATCTACTGAAAGAAAAACTAGCCATCTAACAATGTGCATGCTTACTTAATGTCCTCAGTACTGAAATTAGACACAATGGTATTGATAAAGTTGTCCCTCATGATAACAGCGCGGATCGACTTCCAGTCACTGGCATTTTCACCAAGAAGAAGACAGATTGACTCCAATGCAAGTTTGACAAGCACTGGTGGATTTGCCATCGAACGAACCTCCACAAGGTGTTGCCTTTTGATTGATTTCACAGCTACAGTCAATCACCCAAAGTGAAACAGAAACATAAAACATTGTTGTTTAGTTACACCCAACAGAAGAGCATTCACAGGACTCATACAAATATCACACTACCAGGATAAGATGCAGGAGCAGGCAGCAGTCTGAAAACTGAAATAATAAGAAGTGAAAAGGAAAGAATATATCAAGAATAACAAAAACACAGTGAGCCCTGCAAAGAAAGGGTGATTTCAGTTCTCTTTCACAATGTACTTTCTACCATTTAAGCAAAATTTCAGCTGGAATATTCATTCACCTGATTTCATAAGTACATTGATCAGCAACAAGCAAATATATTTAATGAAGATTGACCTACTTGTTTTTGTGCATGTTAGTTGAGCTTATGACAAAAACAATTAAGGAGGCAGAACTGCTCTCTTAAAAATATGCTGTGGGGATCCAGTCTTCACTCCATACATTACATTCATTAGTGTTAATTGTCTGAAATATGTACTATGTTCATAACTGAATTACATAACTGTTAAAGTTTAGTTAATGGAATTAAAACGTTGCCATCTTCTGCTTCCTAAATCTTTTGTCAGAATGTTTTCCTCACTTCTCATTTGTCAAATTAAATGATCTAGGATTCAGTATTTTTAAAACACATCCCAAATAACTTAGCAATGTTTAAAAAAAGTTTAAATATACATTACACTCTTCTAAGCAACAGCACTTGCCATGGATCTTTAAACATGTAATAAACGATCTTGAAACATATCTTTTGTCAGAATTAATAGTGACAAAAACAGAATTCTGTCAACATCACACAAAAGGCAATACACTTAATTTTGAAGGTATTACCAATTTTACTTCAAAATTCTTTAATTTTATTTTCTTATTTTTATGAAATTCCTTACATAAATAGAAAACATGTAAGAATGTGTTTAGGGAATTGTATGAAATAACTTTCTCACTCTACCTTTGCAGGGCTGTAACATAAAGCACAGGAAAGTGAACACACCGAAAATAAAAGTAACACGGCGTGGATAACAAGAACATGCAACAATAAATATTTAATAAATATCCCTCCTGGCCCATAAATCTTCTTACTTCATGTCCTCTGTGTTGAAGTTGACGATTGTAGATATGAAGCTTTCCCTCATGGTAACTGAACGAATAGTTCGCCACTCCGTGGTATTTTCTCCAAGAAGAAGACAGATTGACTCCAGAGCTACTTTTACAACTGCAGGAGGGTTTGCCATTGAACGAACTTCAACTAGATGCTGCTTCTTTATTGACTTGACAGCTATACAATTCCAACAGGGGTGAATGACAGCAGCACAAAGAGCCAAATTATCAGATTTCACACAGCACACCATAAAACTAACAACAGTAATTAAATTAAATTATATGAAATTCATACTTATGGCTTATAGAAATGTAATAAATCTGAACAATGTGAGTTATTTATTATACACCTGCTTGTCCTCAATAAATCTAAATCAAGCCAGTATCTAAGCAAGCACCAGAGGCTTGTATTGTAACTAATACAAAAACAACAGGATTTTAAAATAAATATAGGCACAGCAAAGTTATTCAGTACTTAAAATGACCTATCACAACACTAGTTAAACTGTTGCTTTTACTACCTAATACAGAATATATCCAGATACCATGAGTACTTTTTTCAGTTTTAGCATAAAAATACCAGACATAACTCTGAGGACTCAATTTAGACGGTACAAAGTGCTGCATCTAGAAATACACCAGACACTGCAGCAGACTTGTCAAAATTGTTGGTACAAACTTTGCAAATGAGGTTACAAAATAAGCATCAACGATATATGCACATGCAAGCAGGAATATAAGTATATAAATACATTCTATGAATCACAAGACAAAATACAGCATGAAGCAGTGTAAATAACAATGAAGTCAGAGAGGAAACAAATATAGTGAAAATTGACTAATGTATTAATCTGAAACAGGTTAATGGTAAGTCAAATTCCCTTTGCAGACATATTTTCACATGTAATTTAATTTAATGATTACAAGATTTTAACAGGACTTACTGTGAAACACATTTCTCTACACAGCTGTTTTGCAGATTACATATTTTAAATGGTAATCTTTTCCTTTGAACCATCCATTCTCAAAACTACTATAATATCTAGTGCCAAAAATTTTGCTTCTAATTCCAAATGACATATACTCGCAAATCTAGCAACACAAATATCACAAATTATTATATATGTTCAAAGCAGTAGGTTCAGACATAACTTGCAAAATACAATTTTAATATATCTGAGTCAACTCACCTTGCTGGGCATCAATAACAGCTGGTTCCACTTGGGCCAAATCAGCCATAACATCCTCTCGCTTCTGTGCTATCTTTATTGTCTGAATTTCAAGTTCAGCCTGAATCTCCTGGCTTTGAACCTTTTTCTTTTCTGCCTCCTGCTGGTCTTTCACCATCTGCCGAAGCTTGGCATTGGCTGCGTCATTCTTTGCTTGCAGTTCCTGTGACTTAACAGCTAGTGACTTCTGCATCTCCTCCACCTGTTCCACAGTTTCAGCAATTTTGTTCAACCCAACATTCAAATGCAGCTGCTGTTCTTCCAAGTCTGATCGCTTTTCATTATAGAGCTTCACAAAGTGGTTGATAAAGTCCAGGTAATGACTGAAATTAACAAGATTGGAAAGGTATACTCTCTGGAGTTCAATGCAATCAACAGGCATGATAAACACCTAAAATCCAATGCAATGTTATAAACAATAACTGTAAGCTATCTACATCAACACACAGAGGTAAATAATGTCACTATTACTTAATAAAACACTTGACCACCAAGACTATTGAATGTATGAAGTGCTGGTTTAAAACACATTACTGAGGACTTAAATGTAAGTGCTTATCTTAACCAAATATAACATCTAACTTTAACTAATTCTATTGCATAGAATCCTTCTTGAGAAGCTGATAATTTTCTCAGCTAGTCAAGAAATTCATTTCCTTTCATGGAACCTAAAAGATTCACTTCCATATTCACACAACCCCACCAATAAACCCGACCCTGAGCCACTTGTATCCATTCCATGTCCTCACATCCTATTACATTTAGAGCAGATTTAATACCATCCTCCTCCTCCTCCATTGCTTAGAATGTGGTGAAAGAACCCATTCACGTAGTCTGAGGTCCTGTGCAACATATTTTTGTAACATTCTAATATATATCCCCCATAAAATAGTAGTTGTCCTGCTCATTCCTCAAAACTGGAGGACCACCTAATGTCAACTGTCTGCAACTGCTTACTCAACATTCTCGGATTTGCAACCATACAGGCTGTCTCCTCCATCTAAAATCTGAGGACATGCCACACCGTAGTGACAACTTAACTGGTAGATATGCCATTAAGGAATAAAGTGAAGAAATATAAATCTCCTATATCAAAAGCTATATACAACTATATCAGTACCAGATGACATTTATCGTTCCAATGGTGACAAATATCAAGATGGCTAAGTAGGATTTGAGGTTTTCACGGTGATGAGTCTGAAGATGGCTGTCTGCCCAGATATTGCACTCTACAGTCTGCTAGGTATCAACCACCGTTTCAGAGGAGCCTACAGCTTGTCATTATGGTCATCACCCTGATAACAGAGTCAATAAGCTCCTCTGAAATGTTAGTTAATATCTATCAGACTACATAGTGCAATATTCCAGAAGATAGCCATATTCATCCATGTACCAATTTTGTTTGAAACATTAATAGAGGGGCAAATAACAATTTCTCTACATGAAGGAAAATACCAAGTCTGTATGTAATTAGTATAAAAGAATAGATGACTTGTTAAATAAACTGTTGCAAGTTTCCTAACATATTCCTTACACATAAACAACATGCAGTATTTATTCAGTGAAATTTACCGTGGTGTGATTGCCATCGTGCGACCACCCCTCTTAGCAAGACGAGCATTGGCTTTATGAAGTGTCTGGTGAACATACACACATGCATTAATTACTGCATCACGATGTGTGGGTGTGGCTGGAAGACTTGCAACTGCAGATGGAAAGAAATCTGGAGCATTCCATGTGGGTCTGTCCAAGTCCACTCGGTTTGTAAATTCACGCCCAACCTACAAAATGAAATGCATACAAAACAGCAGTCAGAAAACCTGAAGGGAAGAGATTGCTTACAAGATCCAGCAAGCAAATCACACATACAAACTGCTACCATTATACACAGAGCATGAGAAACACACAAACAATCTTAAATGATTATCTTAGCCACATATGAAACAAACCTGGAACAATGCACCATCTGACCAATCTCCAAACCAGTTGAGCACGCAGCGGTTGAAGAGGGCAGGTGATGTGGCTGCACGATCCTTCAGACCCTCAGATGAAGGATTCATAGTGAACACAACATGTAGGTTGTGCATCACCTGGCCTGTGAACCACTTGTACAGCTCTTCATTGGAATCCAACATCAAACCTTCTCGCTGAGCACCTTCTTTGCACTGTGTCATCAGAGTTGTATACTCATCCCCTGTAACAGTGTGTTCACACAAAATTCTTCCAAGAATCCATAGTGATCACTAAACCATACACATTGCAAGTGCAGTAATATTATTCTGTGTAGAACATGTAATATAAGCATTAAATTATAATAAGCTTCATAGCAGGAATAAAAAAAAAATAGAACAATCTGTTAACTTTTATTATCTCATGAATTTATGGTTTCCTAAAATTTATGTTCACTCGATCTGCTCTCTTTCCAAAAGCAATTTCTTACTGGACTGTAACAAATGCAACTTTATACTGACCCTCAAAAAGACCTGGCACTTCTCCATTTGCTAAGAGGGTATTCATTCTCTCCAAAAATCCAGAGTCCAAGACATTTGATTCATCCAGAATAAAGGCAATCTTCTCATCCTTACAGCCAGATCGGCGGAGCACTGCACGCAGATCTTCATCAAAATCTTCACCTGTGTACTTGTTGTGGACCTGTACAATCATTACAAATCACAAATGAGTAAATCATAAGACTAGTAAAATAAGTTAATTATTTTTTTTTAATTCTTATAATCTACAGAAAAATAATGAGAAAGTAAGCATGAGACAACTCACGATACATGCTCTACTGGCTAACCTTGATCTGGAAAATGGAGAGTCCATTCATCCAAGCAACAAAACGTGAGAGAGTGGTCTTGCCAGCACCTGATACACCAATCAGCAGTAAATGCCCTTGTGGCTGGCGGAAAATTCGATCAATTCTCAACACATGGTCAAGAACTTCATCAAAGAGCACCAATGGCACATCCAGTTCTTCTTCATAAAACACCTGGAATAAATTGTATAAGTTCTTATTAAAAAGTAGGGAAGTATATTCTTAGGCATGCTGCACATTGAATTCAGACAATTTAATGTAAAACACAGCAAATTCACATACACAACAACTTAATAACTGTATAAACTCTTTAACTGCATTCACACCTTCAGCCTAGCTTTAACATAATCTCGAAGTTCTTCTCTGTCAACTGGAACATAGTCCTTCGATAACCAGTTGCTGTACAGAATTGGCTGACTGAGTGCAGCATCTTTGTCCACTCCAGGAAAATGTTTCAGAGCCACAATGTCAATGTTTTCATTTGTCCAACGTCGCTCAGAGTCTTCAACCAGGCGGTCTTGAAACAAGCGCAGAGCTTCATGCGCCCACAATCGAACCAGTCCCTCTACAGGCAGATTGTCCAAAGGTCTACATCAGAAATAATTATATTTTAGCTTCACCATTTATGTTTCTGGCCCTACATTCATGTTCTTTTACAGTGGTGATTAAAAACATCTGTATTTCCCCTTACAATCTTGTCTACTTCCCATACATTATAAGAAAAGATGGGTTTATGGTATGACACGTTCATGTCTTTGCCCGTAGAAAACACAGACAATAAAGACTCTTCATAATTCTAAATTTCTATTTTTGGAAGCATTTACTAGACATGGTGTGTTTAATCCATGAAGAGCAAAACTAATCTAAAAATGTTATATGATATGCTCAGAAAAAGTCCACATGGAAACTGGATGAACTTTAATGTCAAGACTAAAACCAGTATAATCTAGCACTGGACACTAAAACTTGTACAGAGGTAAAACAGAAAAAAAAATGGAGATAAATTTTCCAAAAACTTTACAACCATCAATTTCATTTCTATTTGTGTTTTGACATATAAACCATGTTTGGAAAACCACAGGTACAAAGCACTCAGAAGGCATAACACTAGACAGAAGGATGTTAAAAATGGAGTAAGTTATGAAGATATGAGAAGCTGACAGTGATGAACCTCATGGTTTCACAAGGAATCTATTGAACAACTGAATATACTATGTACTCCTCAAAGAAGATTGTGCAATGGAGTCCCAGATATTTTTCTTTTCACTGCGTGACAACTTGTGCAGAACTGCTACTAGGATTAAGAAGATTATCATATAATATAGTTTCAATTTGATACATTCTTCATGTTAAATCAAGGTACCAACTTCTAGAATTTCTGGAATTAATGAAATATAGCCATTACATAGGAAAATACTACACATTTAAAAATACAAGAGTAATGTTGCTATAGCTAACATCACAATTAATTAAGTGCACTAACAATAACATGAGTCTTCAAGAAATGAAAACAATCATGACTAGTCATTTAAAAGCAATGTCATGTCTAGTCTTCTGTCTTCAAAGCAATAATCCTACTCTTGTTTTGACTAGTCATGCTCACACTTGTAGCAAATTATGTACATATAAAAACATACAAGAAACATTAAACTTTCACTTTCCAAATATCAAAAATATAAAAGTTTATGACAAGTGCATGAACAGTGCCACCAAGAAGCAAACATCAAAAATAAAATTTAAATATATATTCTTCAAGCAAGGTCTCAATATTACCTGATTGCCTCACAAATTCCTCGAACCCATCGAGTCATCTCTCGAGGGGAGTAAACATAATGAGGCTGCATGTCCTGAGTGAAGCGTTCCTGTGATGCCAAGTAGAACTCAACCATTGCATTGGTCAGTGGTTCAGCATAACCACGGAGTGAAGGGATAATACGAAGCATAGCTCGACTGAAGGTTCCATAGATCTGGAAGCACATCAAATTGCAAATTGCCAGCGACTTAATTAGTAGAACTCAACACAGTCTTCGAGTGGAAAGAGGTAACTAATTACTATTTAAATCACTCCCAACAAAACTGGAGTAAAATAGCAAATAATGTAATAAAAACTCTATTTTAAAACAGAATTAACTTTCATAAAGAATATGAAAAGCCTCAACATTTTCAAATCTTCCTGTTCTGAAATTATTTCAGATCATAAGCTAGAAAAGCAGGTAAACAGATAAGCCAATTTAAGGAAATGACAAAAGAAACACCATGTTGCAGCTAAATGCTTTAAGATTCAGATACCAACTAATTTTCATTTTAACCAAATCTGACTTTGATGAACATTTTTATACACTTTTTTTACATTCAAAATTAATTTTCCAGAACAACTGCCTGTAAAATTAATTTCTAGCAGATAAATCTCTATGATACCTGTTTCAGTGATGTTTCTCCAGGATAATCTACATAGATGACAGGCACATGTCGCAGGAACCGATGTGATAAGGGTTTCCTGCCAGGATCAGTAGGAGGATTGCAAGCACCCACAAACTGAATTCTCTCCAAAGATACCCATGCCTGGTCTGAAGCACGGTAGAACCCACGGTGCTCCACCAGCTGACGCAGGAATGATATCACTCGCTGTGTACCATACTGGTCCATGTCAGGCAAGTTGATTTCATCACAGAACAACACAAGCCATTTACCTAGCTGTGAGAAAGCAGTACAAGAGAATCTTACATTACCTATGAAATCCAACTTCTCCATTCAGTTTACAGCTCTGCATTACACAAAAATGGCAATCCAGAAATTAAATTAGTTCAAACTGATATAATTAAATTAGATATCAATATTATACTACAAATAAGTAATATACAGCATATCAAACTACTACTCTTTGAAACAATGTTATAATGTGAAATACTTACTCCTTTCAAACCAATAAAGTAAAAATTCAAGCAACAAATTCTTACCTGCACAGGGGCAAGCACAACACCATTGGGAGTCTTGCGATATTCGCAATAGTGGTCAAATGTCTTCAGCAGAAGCTCGGGTGTTGTTGCTGAGGAAAAGTTAAGGCCAACAACTTCCATGTCAGGCAATGCTCGAAGAGCAGAGAACAGTGTCATGGTTTTGCCTGAACCAGGTGGTCCACACAGAACTGCAACAGAATGAAATAATGTTGATCTCAATACCTGTCTTATCCACAAGAGATTTTTTTAGAAGTTTCTTGTATGGCAGCACCAGGATGCAATGGTTTTCATGTATGAAATATGTTTAAATTTGGCATTAGTATCTACTGTATATAATATGCAGGCAGCATGGTGGTTGAATTTGTTCACATGGTGCTTGAGCTAAAGGCAAAGATGGATAACAACTAATTTAACTTCAACAAAAATTCATCACACTAAAAACAAAGTTTCAATTTACTTTCCCACTGTCAGACCTGTGGCTATATTTCAACACTCTCACCAATAACTGTGATTTATTAACAAGTTTCTTATCTAGAGTTAACAACTTTAAACATTCATTTCTATGCATAAGTTACTTTACCTAGAGGCTTATGTTCAGCCAGCCACGTATACAGCAGTGATTCATGGCGAACTGTATCGAGAGTTGGTACCACTATATCTGGGGCTGCTACCTTGTGTGTGTCCACTTCAATCTGTGGCACTTTGTTGGACCATGGACACCATTCACGCGTAGTAATACTGACCTAGGTATCAATTGCAAATTGTATTAAATGCAATAACAAAGTGTAGGAAAAGACCTTATAAAGTATGGTATCTAGCCAGAAAATACATTTCTAAAAATCACTTCTGGGCACGTAATATTGTCCAACTTCTCCCCATTTGGCAACAATAACAACATTAAGTCATACTAAGTTTAGCCCTTCTTCCACATCACAATTTGTTTCTTTCCAGAAACCTTACTTACCTCATAATCAATAATTGGAATATGTGTAGAGGGTGGTAGTGGTACTGTGGTAACCGAACGAATGAAGTCACCCAAATCAGAACGAACTTTCAGCTTCGCATCACCAGCAAAACTCCACAACAATGCGTACACAAGACATTTTGGAATGTAGCGTTCCAACTCTTCACTTGGCAGAGGGAAGTCTGCATGTGTGTGGTTATATTGTAGAACATTCCTAAAGAATGTAATATAATTTAAACAAGAAAAGACAGAAAAATCTTGAGAGGTAATTAAAACTTCAGCACTTCACTTCAAAATATACTGTCTGGTTAAAGGGCCAATGTAAGAAAATTCATTAGAAACGGTTGTGTCTTATATCCACTTCAGGCCTAACTATTAAAAAAATACTTAAAGTTCTTTGGGTGTGATAATTTCCTGATCATGTATTAGGGCCTAGAAAGGTCATACATTCACATAAATACAAAGTTAATAGCCTAAAGGCAGTCTTACTGGGAATTCTGACAAAACAGTCACACAGTAGTAAAGTATCTTATGTTTCAACATCTAAACATGAACAGCAAATACACTGATTAAAAAATCATTCACTTCCAAATACACTACCTGACGCCTTGGTTAAGCATTGAAAACAAGGAGCTGAGAGCTCGAAGTCTCGTGAAGTCCATAATATGTTCTTGTTTCATTGCAAACTCGAGGCACCGCACCACCAGACCATCAGGTGAAAAGAATGGCTGCAAAATGCTTGTCACCTCTTGCTGTACCTGAATATAAGATCAAGTTCAAGTGAACTTCAGCCTTAAATTTGGCTACAGTCCCTTCTTTATTTATTGCTGCCAAAGTTCTCAATCTAATCACACATTTCATTAACTACATGCCATTTCATCAATGCTATATGGACATGAAAACAGTAAAGATCAAATGCGGACACATATTATAGAAATGTGATACTGATTAACAGCTCTGCTCTATAGATTACTTAACAAAACACACAAAACAAACTAAATAAACTGAATGTAGTATAACTAAATACAACAATAAAAAGACACCACAGAAACTGGAAAGATCATTTAATACCAATAACTATCAATCACAATGGTGAGGACATCCCCTATTAAACCAATAAGAATGAATTCAGAATAAAAGAAGTGAGGTTTTAAAAAAGATTTAAAATAGTAAGGTATAATGTATTGGTGAGGACATTTCATATATTGGAATTTATGGGTTTAAACAGAAAATTGAAGAAATGTATTATAAGTAAGTTAACATGATACATATTTAACTGCATAAACACAAAAGTGACAGTTGGGAATACATTACAATCGATTATTGTGCTTAGTTAACAAGTTTTTAAAAAGCATGCTGTGTAGAATACCTGCAAAGCAGGAGACAGCACATCCTCTTTGTTCTCAGATTTCTTCCCAAAGCCTGAGTCCTCATCAGCCTCCTCCAGAGGGATATTACGCAGACGTGACATGTAGTTCTCAAATATCATTTCAGTAGATAGCACATCTTCAGAAAACCATACCATCCCACAACGAGACACAGTAGCTAGTGTTGCATACTTCAGATCTTGAACCTAAAGCATCAACATAAATACAGATAAATAAAAGAATAAATGAAACATGACATATCACAAATTTCACTAAAAAACACAATTCAGATCATAAAATACATATTTTCTATATAACACACTGATTTCTATGTGAACAATTAGTTTGGTCCTTTTGATTTCAAAATACAATATCAAAATGGCGTCATCATTACCAATCACACACAGTGAAAGGTCAAAATAACACTGCTCCTTAGTCACATCCCCCCCTATAAAAAAAGAAATACTGTATTAATATTTTTTCAGTTTTTTTACACTATTCATTTATGCAAGAATTTTTCTCTAATAATTTCAAGGCAATCCTGGAAGAGGTCAGAATCCTGCATCACACTGCTAAAACCTGCTGTATAGCACTTAAGAAGATGAATATAATTTAATCTCATTTAAATCTTAAAGTAGTTTGAACTGTATTGTACTACACTCACTTCTTGATAGTATTGACCTTCTAAAACTATACTTTTATCGATCCCATAAAAACTGTACTAATAAAACTGTATTGTAGCTGAACATAGTTATAATGTGAAACATCCATACAATGCCAAGAACTTACTTCAAACATGACTCTGACATTGGGAGGCAAAGACAATCTCTCTCCATTTGGTAAAGTAAGCAATTTGTTGTCATCCAGCACTGAATTGAGATTTTCTACCCATTCTGGATCCACATCTCCATCAAAGATGATCCACTGCCGTTTATTGATCTCACCACGCACATTGTCAATTATCTTCCTACAAAAAAGGCAAATACTGTATAAAGACAAGATAGATACATAAGCAGCTGCTTGTGTCTCTTTGGTGGTGGATTAACAAGAATTTAAAAACTAATGTCATTTCAATCTGTTATTTTGGCCATGAAAAAACTTAATCATAAATCCATTTGGTACAGTAAAATGCTCTATAAAAACACTTTTCCTTAAAATCATATATTCTGATTCATAGGAAATGGAAAAGTTAACCAAGTTATATGAATTTGTGGACTAGAAATTTCCATGGTAATTAATCAGGACAGTGGACTTCAGAGTTGTTGAATTGTGCAGTTTTGTGGTTATATATGAAAGTTTTAAGAAATTAGCAAGGCTTCCAGTTCTGGATTCTTACAGGAATAAACTTGTAGAAAAAAAAATATAACCAAAACTACGAACATAACATTCCACAATCTTTTACCTTAAGATGTGTGTAAAAAGACCATCTGTCCATTCCCTTGTGTTAGGATCAAGGACTCCATACAATGCCTCTTTGGAAATGGCCTTGGGATCAATGACGTGGGCCACACCCTCAGTCCCCTCATAACGTTCAAGAGCTTTGAGAAGAACTTTCCAAGCAGTTGTTTTGCCAGAGCCACTCGGGCCAACCATCATTAGACCATGATTCAAATTGCAGATCTGGTACAACTGCAGAACCTGTTCACACACAGCCACACAATCAAAAAACAGTCTCTTATAATTAGACATGCACCTGCCTCTACAAACATTTATCCTCCAGATGTGTGTACAAACATCATCTGTTTATCTGTTAGAATCAAAATTATAATCTACGGCAACTGCTCTGGAAAGGACTTTTCTTCTTTCTCACTTTCTCTTAGTCCAGGCAGGTATATTTATTTATTTATTTCTTCTCCTCTGTCCCTGACTCAAACTAATCATCTTGTTTTCCTCAGCCTTACCTGACCCCTCAACCATTCCAACATAACCCACCTACATCACAGCTCCACTCACTTCTATCCTGAAGACAGAGGCAGTACATTCCTTCAAAAACACTGGTAACTATCTACATGACTACAGAGGCTTACAACCCAGATGATGATAATCCAAATTCATAACCAAGATGCAGAAGTGAAAAAAATTACATGTAAACAAAAGCAGAAAGATACAAACACTACAAAGATAAATGATAAATACAAAGAGAAATTAAGTTATTAACAGGGATATCAGCAACCAATCACATTGCCTAAGTGTGCCGTACGAACACAAATAAATTTTAAATGTACTTAGGCATTACAGATATTTTATTTGATTCCCCTCCATTAGAAGCCGCAAATAATTAATCACGCTTTTCTCCTAAGGTTCCTACATAAAAAGGTGGACAAACTTTAAATTGGTATTTTACAGTAGTAATTTTGTCATAATTTAAAATTTGAAAATAAGTAGAAATTCCTATTTCCATTACAATGTCTAATAATTCAGATGTGCATGGAACATGCGAAAGGTTTCTATGACAAGATATATCTGAATATTCTGTTATTATTTTGTTATTAATCCTGCTGTTTCCGTTATCTTTTCTCTTACATGAAACTGCTATAGAGACCATACCCAGAAATCAATTTAAATTAATTTACTACACACTATGCTCCATTACTACACTGCTTATTTTTGTACTAATGTTTTTCTCCACATTAGAAATTGTTAGATTTAATTGCCAAAAGGATTTTCTCTAGTACTGAAAATTAATTTAACTAATTTAAAGGTGATTTTTATATTGTCAATGGTACAGCTGGAATATTATCTCAAGTTACACTCCAATATCAATCCCTGCAAAGAGACAATAAATTTTCAAGCTCTGGAAAAACAGGTTACAGTAAAAAAATTAAGAGCCACTAAAAAATGTTGGATTGTTGACGAGGAGGGACAGAGAAGATGAGGGGTGATTATTCAAACTAAATTTCTCTTCAAATTGTTTGTTTCACAATGGGTGCAACTACAAAACAGATACTATAAAACTAATTATTTCTGTAACATTAAATAGTACTTGAAACATAACTGCAGAAGTGTAAGGAAAAAATAATCTTGTCACACTGAGAAAAATGACACAGTACAATAAAAAGACATGGGTACAACCATAAAACAATCCAGAAAAATTTCTCTACCCTCAATTTAAATTGTGTTAAATTTCAAGAGTTCTTCACCACAGAGCAGATATGTTAGGCACACTACTTTTATATAAAAATAGAGAATAGTTATCAGTTAAATAAACACATCACATTTAAAATTCGAAGTAGATAGCACATTAGGTGACTACTTTGATATAACAAAACACTTCACACAGGGCTATGGGTAGATGGGAAGCAAATTATCACCTGCATGCTGGAAAAGTAGAGGTTATTACCAAGATCCTTTGTTGGATGCTTGCTTGCAGCAATAAAATACACACACAAATGCGAGCTACAACACATCTTAAAATGAAAGTGGTCTTAATGGAAAACAGAAAGCTATGACCAAAATAAGGTACTAAATATATTAGTGATTTGTGTCTCTTGCATGACAATTCCAAAACAAAGCGTGGGTGATGAAGGATGGCTTCTGATACTTGGATTTGCACATTCATACACTTCTCTTCAGAAGATGAACTTACCTTCTCAACCCAAGTCTCGCCTATTGCTCCCTTTGGTATGTATAGAGAGAATTCAGAGAGAAACACAGCTACCATTAACCCATTAACCACTACTCAGATATAACACAATATTTGCTCAATCAAGATTTCTAAAACAGGGATTTCTGTTACAACTGTTGTTACACATGTAGTCATAAGGAAATAACTGTAGACCTACCTTCTCCATCCAGACACATCCCTGTTCTTCTCCCTCACCACATACCAAATACGCCTCTTGACACACCTTCCGAATTTGGTCCTTCAAACCTAAAAATATACCAGGACAATGACACAACAACCTACAAATTTAAGTCCTTTAGTAAGTTAAAATATCCTGCTACTTAACTGAGATAAATATGTACCAGTCACAGTCCACAGCAGTTTGTACTATTTTCTATAATGTTCTTTTACATAAAGTTAACAGAGGGGGTGGTATTTCAAAGTGTAAAGCAGCTGTGATCTCCACATAATCACATAAACTGAATGAGTTGAGTAGCTAAAATAAACATGGTTATAATGTATTTAAATAATCTTACAAATGAGAACATACATCAATCATTAGGTACGCACTAATCATGGACTTCTGGGATGTGAAGCCATGTGGTCTTGTACGTAGTAACCAATGTTTTGGAGAAACATACAAACATATTATCTCCTACAAAACCATTGAGTCACACACATCCCAGAAAATCACAATCAACATCTTTACCACCATCAGATCCTCAAATACCATTAGGTATGTGACACCTATCTTCAGGGCCATAGCTCAAATTAGAGTCACAGCATCCCATAGTAGGTTCAGCAAAGAATTCTTATTCTCTTATAAATGCTCAGAAGTGGTCAGTCAAACTCTTGATCTGAAGATCAACTGATGGTCACAACAGATACATGTTGTATCCTGACACACATAAGAAGGAACACAGACTGAATTAATAAGCACAGTATAATTAAAGAGATAAGCCACATACCTGCCATTTCAGCTCGTGTGTAGTTGACATTAGGGAAAACATCTGACAGCAAGGAGAAGAGAAGAGGAATATCCTCAGCCACTAACTTGGGAACCATTGTCTCACAAACTGACTGGATAAGAATCTGAACACAAAAACAAGCATGGCATTAAATGGATTACAGATCATGAAAAAAATAACAAAATACAAGACACAGATTTTGGACAGCTCTATTACTCAAGTGCAAGATGTAGGAATTATTCTAGCAACATATAAGTGGTGCTTACTGGCCAGATCTGCATATGTACATAATGCACAAACATAAATCAATCTGATTCCACTTACTATATCTTCCAAGTCACTGTCAGAAACAAGATTTTCAGCAAAAACTTCAAACTACCAACATTGTTTTCTTTTACATGTTTTCTAATAATTCATCACATCAGCACATACAACTGCTAGCTGACTTCCTCCCATAACATTGGTCTTTTTGTTGTTTTATTTTAAGAGGGTATTTCTAAAACACTGGAAAAATGAGGGCGAACCATAATCTATATTAACCACAACTATAATATTCAAAATAAAAGAAAGAAAACAAGAAATAGTCCTCTGTAGTGGCATCAATTTGCAGAAAATGCAATACAAAATATCACACTAAACCACTCAAGAAACCAACTGTAAACAATGTTCTTACACACCTCCTGTTCTGGCAGATTTTCTGCTATGGATGCCTCGTCAATATTGGATTCACCTCGCATCTTCATATTTTCCTTTATTTTCATGATACGGTCTCGTTTCACATTACCAGCAGACACCAGCACAGACTTCAGGGCTCGAAGACCGAAATCATAATGTGACTGATTTGATAACTGTTCATCACACAATCTGAGCAAGGAGAAATATGACCCAATCTTGTGTATGGCAAATAATTTAAAGGAAGATCAGATAACTGTATAAAACAAGGTTAATGATGGAAATGGAGTAACAACTGACTCTATGGACAAGAATTCTTTAAAAATTAAAAATCACCCAATTAGTAAAGAATTATTTACCTTTTATGAAACCGTAATGGTCATTACCATGTTAACAAGAGCCTAGCACTACATCCTGTTCTGAACCAGATAAATCCAGTATAAAATCTCACACCCCACTCAAAACCAATTTTAATACTATCCTCCCAATCTTCCTACTGGTCTCTTCCCTTCAACCTTTGGGGTCTTAAGTATTGTACTGTTATATGTCTTCCTTGATTTGGTCATCCTAATAAAATTTAGTAAAGTGCATAAATTACAAAACTCCCCATTATGCAGCTTTCCCCATCTTCATGTTATTTCCTTTCTCTCAAGGTTCAAAAATTCTCCTCAGCATCATGAAAACCCCCTCAAATCTACATCCACCTCTTGTTGAAACAAAAATTATACATAAATGAGAGGAAAGTAAGTACATAAACACAAAGATTAGACAGAAGTTTATGCATTTTTAAAATAACAGATTATAACAAATTACAGAAAAGTGGCACATTTATCTATGTGATTTATCCCTTCTGGTATGAAGCTGCAGCTAAAAAAGTTTCAGTTTCTATTTTAATTCTCTTACAATTTGTGTTACACACTGACACTTGGATAAAAAGACAATACGCAAGAAGTAATGTTTCAGATTTATATTATTTACAGATGTTATGATTAAAAATTTGTATTCTAAATTTCATATTTACTGTATTAAAATGAATATGATTGTGGAAGAAAACTATGACATATTTTTAAGTAGCATGTGGCCAACACGTCTTCTTACTGGCGAGTAACTCATGTGGAAATTTCAATATCTATCATTCTAAAAGTAGAAAAGAGGAATCAGGATCTTACTTGAAGAATGGTACAATCTTGCAGGCAAGCTTCTCAGCAGTTCGGAAACCCTGAGAGAACAGCATCACTTCAGCAATGAGCTGGCGGTCAGGTTTTGTCATTGCCAAGGAACGGAACAACTTCTTTAAATTGTCAGGTAGGTTTGATCGACCAGCATAACCAGGATTCATAGTGATGAAAATTGCCATGTCTGTTGACACTCGTACCTGCTTGCCCACAAGCTCCACACAGATGCCTGCAATATTAATATGTTAATTTCTTCCTTTACAGACCTCTGAAAAGTTCCTTAGTGGAAACGATTATATACATTATTTTCTGAAACCAAGAAATGCAAACTCTTTGGACTCACAATTCCTTAACACAGAAAGACAGAATGAGTCAATATACAATGTCTGGCAATTAAATAACAAGCCTGAGTGTTAAAAAAAAAGAATATCTTTGGTGCTCAGTAAGAAGAGAATAAGTCAATACTAATTATATTTCACTTAAGACCTTACCAAGCTCCACAGACAGCATTTATCAGCATGGTTCCCATTTTTGCAGTCACTGTCAAAATCAACATATTACCAAAGGCTGACTGCCTGACAGGATGTTATAAAAGG